AAACACGATTCCACCAGGCCATCAATGTTTATAACTCTCGGTCACTAGTCAAACAGCATGACTGAATGCAGCCTTTGTGGTGCTAGAAACTGCACTCTAAATTTGGGCTGATGTACAGTGAACACAATGCATACTTTGAAAAAGACTGGGGCTGATCCAGCCACGCCCAGATTTAAGGCCCTGGTAACCTTTCTGTAGAGAACACATACCTTTCAAATAGCTCAGTGTTTGTTTATGTTTGCCGAGAGCTACCCCTGGAGAAATCGCTCAGGTTTCTACTACTGTCTTTTAACCTTTCATTTCCTTATACTTTTTCCTTACACTGTTTTTTTAACCCCAAGCCAGGAGCTAAGGAGCACGCTAGGTCAAATTCAGGCAGGAGAAGCCCACCGCATGGACCAGGAGCAGGCCGGGAATGGGACCGGAGCAGGCCTGGATAAGCGCCAAGTTGTGGGCGGAATTCAGACCAGGTGCAGGTAAGGCGGAAACTAAGTGGAGGCGTTCACACTGGGTGCCAGTGATTTCTTTTGCATCAGACACAACTGCATCATGGGCCCAGGTTGGCTACCTGGGAACCAAATTTTCTGAGGAAGGGCTCTGCCCTAACATTCCAGATGGAACTCCTGCTAATTCTACAGAGTACTGGATATCTTTATCTTTGCTGATATCATTTGTTGGCTTACCTATTGTGGAATTATACCTCTAAGCCACATCTGATGCACGGTTTCTCTAATCCTTGCTGTCAAAAATGACTCCTACCCCACCGACCCCGGGAGGGACCATCACCTTCAATCAGAATTTATCTCCATATCAACAAAATAACTATCTTGTTATTCTTCTCAGAACTATCCAGCCCCTCCCCAGACCCAACCCACAACCAGCCAGTCCTCTACAATCTTCAGTCAGGTACAGTGATAGGTCATAGTGGGGGTACTGATAGGGAAGATAACAACGGATGTCATACTTCTCACCCTGAAGGAACCCAAACACTGAGGAGGTTAGGCAGAAAGTACAACTTAGCAGGTAATTTTAATTCAATGCTGGCAGCAGCGGCATTGGGTATAGGAGAATCCGGAGTTGGAGTTCCAACCATCTGGGAGGTGGGTTATCAGGAATGACTTCTGGAGGAGGTGACATCGAAGGTGGATTATAAAGAATGAATGTGATGACTGGATAAAGAAGATGTGGTATATATTTACTGTGGAATACTACTCAGCCACAAAAAAGAATGAAATAATGCCATTTGCAGCAACATGGATGGACCTAGAGATGATCATACTAACTGAAGTAAGTCAGACAGAGAAAGACGAGTATCATATGATACCACTTACACGGAATCTAAAAACACAAATGACACAAATGAACTTAGTTGCAAAACAGAAACAGGCTCAGAGACAAAGAAAACAAACTTATGGTTACCAAAGGGCAACACAGGGGAGGGATATACTGAGAGTTTGGGATTAGCAGATAGAAACCACTATACACAGAATAGGTAAACAACAAGGTCCTACTGTACAGGACAGGGAACTACATTCAATAGCTTGTAATAACCCATCATAAAAAGAATATGAAAAAGAATATATGTGTATATCTGAATCACTGTGCTGTACACCAGAAACTAACACAACATTGTAAATCAACTATACTTCAATTAAAAAAAAAAAGGATGAATGGGATTAGTTAGAGATGGTAGGAAGGGTATCCCAGAGAAGACATGATAAAAAGCTACCAAAAAAAGCATGTGAAAATTGCACAAGTGAGTGGGACCAAGTCATTGCTGAACAGGAAGTATGAGGCACCAGGTAAAAAGAATTGGGAGAAGGGAGATGGGGCGGGGGAGGCGGGGGAGTCAGGTCACAGAGGTCATGCCACATGAAGAGCTTCAACCTGACCCTCAAGATAAGGAGAAGTCGCTGTGAAGATTTAAGCAAGGGAACAACAGGCGTTCTTCCAGCCTCTCTGGGATTCTGTACACCCACCACCCCCGGACTGTGGGAAGCAAAGCTCCCGGGCACCTTTGTCCCACAAAACTCCTTGGGCAGAGATTTTGGAAGGCTTCAAAGTAAGAAAAACTTGAGCTCTTCAATGAAAATTAGCTTCCTAAATGTCTGCACATGATCTAGGTGAAAAATGCATCTTATAAACAAAAGGTCCTACTGTCTAGCACAGGGAACTATAGTCAATACCTTGTAATAGCCTATAATGAAAAAGCTTATGAAAAGTAGCGTATATATATATATATATATATATGTATAACTGAATCACTATGCTGTACACCAGAAATCAACACATCGTAAACTGATTATACTTCGATTAAAAACAAAAAAAATACATCTTGTTCCTCACTTGCAGACAATAGGATGCCTAAAATAAGGATTCTTCTTCTTTCTCTGCATACTTTTGTGAACTAAAAAAAAAAGGATATCTACTGTCTTCCACACATGATGTTTAATTCCTTTTATTGTCTAAAATGTAATAAAATATCTCTGGAAGGAGAGCCAAGGACACAATACCAGTAGCTGATGGAGTGCAAACTTTAAAAATTGTGAACCCTGTGAATACATTTCCTGTTCTGTAGAAAAACTAACTCTCACAAAATGTTTTTAAAATAGGGACGGAAATTCAGAGAAAAAAAAAAAACCCCACAACATTTTGAGGGGTTGGAGTGGGGGAAAATTAGCTCAACATTCTAAAATTAGACCAAGATACTGAAGAGTCACTACACTTGACATTCAACCATTCTAATCTCAAAACTTAGATGCCATAAAGTCACAAATGCCTTCTTCCAGAGCTATCCTCAGTTCACAGCATCATTCTTGGTACCATGAAGGACTAAATAAGTGTCTGTTGATTGCTGAAAAGAAAGATGTCGAAATGTCTTTTTTTTTTTTTGAAGCCTTCTACTCTGTGTGAAGACAACGTCCTCAAGATGTTTCAGTTTCCTTTATTGTCATAACAGTGCTCAGGTTCAAAGTTAGCCTGGTTGCTTCTCGCCCACCAGCCTGTCTGAGCATATTAACGGAGGAATGCTTCCCGTTTTCACTGGCTCAGAGATGAAGTGCCAGAACAAAGCATGTTCTAGACGGAAGCACAGAAGGCAGCACAGAAGCCTGGGTGGGCTGTGGCCATCGGTTCCAGCCAGGACACTTTCCTGTGACTCCAGCCGGCACAGTGGTCCCTACTGTCTCTGTCTGCTTTCAAAACACACACACACACACACACACACCACACACTTCCCCTCTACATCCCTGTTAACCTTGTTTCCAGTTTAAAGTGGTCAGCAGAGTTTATTTCCATTGTCCTCCGCATTTTCCCCCCAAACCTCACCCTTTCACCTTTCTGGGGTTCTGCAGGGAATTTGCTTTAGATATACAGGAAAGGAAAAAAAAAAAAAAAAGGATTATTCCTTTTCCCAGTGCAAGAGAAAAAGCTCAAACTTCAGGCTACCCAAATCCCAGATCAGATCCCAGCTTTGCCTTGGACAAACTGTGTGAAGATGAGCACATTACATCCCTCTCTCTAAGCCCCCTTTCTTCCCCTGTACATGAGGAGAGCAAGGATTATTTCCCATGATTCAAAGAAATGACACAGAACATATCGAGCACAAACTGTATTAACCAAGACAGGATCAGATGCCAAGCACAGAATGTTCACATGTGTTTGAAATAGTTATTTGTGGATGACTAGGATGAATGCTCCCTACACTATGATAAATGTTGGCTCACTTCCCCTCCTGCAAGTTTTTGCGAACTGTTAATCTAGGATGCCTGAAATGAAACTCTTGTAGGATAGCATGTCTCGGTCCCCAGTCACCCTGCCTCTTTCTGCCCCCCTCTAAGTAGGTTTCTGTAACCACCACTCTGGTTTAACTCTTAGGGATGCTGGATTATTAGGCACCTAATAACTGCCATGAGTCTACTTTTAGCTATGAAGGCAGCACTCGTGTGTGTCAATAATAATGATACTACAGGAAGAGCAGGGAGTTATTTCAAGCATGGTAGTCATGAGGTCACCCCCACAGGGCTGACACCCACAGCCATGCTGGCACAGTAGTGGCAAATGGGTACATTGAGACATCACCACGAAGAGGCCCTGCAGGTCACACAGGTCTTCTCGAACAACACCTGGGAGACAGAATTTTGAAAAGGGACCCAGTCCCGAATCAAAGAGGGAGTTTGGTGCTATTTTCTGGCTCCACGCCTGGCACACCTTGGCCCCCAATGATCATAAATAACGGGAATGACTTCACAATATATAAAAACAAGAGGCTGCAAAGGGGAATTTCTAATACAATGGGACTTAAAAACTGAGAATTTACTCTGGATCAACTCCAGCTAGATTCTCTCTCCATATATTTCAATTCATTGTTACCCATTCTTCCAGGCAATAAAACAGCAGACTAGCTTTATGGAACCAAGTCAGTTAGGACTTGGACACTTGTTCAGGTCTAAGACTAGAGACGTTTAAGTCGGAATCATCATCTGTAAACATCCAAAGGGGATTCAAAGATTCTGAAAACGGCCCCCATGAGTTTTGAGCGATGACTTTAGGCATCAGTGTCACACTGTGTAACATCCTCTGAAAGGAACACTATTTCAACTCATAAATTCTAGAATGCTTATTCAAAAATCAGTCTCATTATGTTACAGCTGTGCTTATCAAGGGCCATGAAAGCCATTCATTCAAAAGACTGAGCTATTATATGTCAATTACATCTCAAACTTTGAAAAAAAAAGACCGCGCTAAAAGTCAGTAACCATGTGATACGCGAACAATGGTAGTTTTGCCAGAGCTCCTGTAACTCAGCATACCTCTTTTGTCACTACACTGCACACTTACGAGACAACAGAGCTGGCACTCAACTGTCACTAAAAAGCAACCAGACTAATAACTTCCGAGGCATTTAATTTTTTTTTTCACAAATAATTTCAAGGAGGAGCTGAAGGTTAGCGAACTCAATCTATGGATAAGGGAAAACAGGAAAGGAAATTGGTACCTACCTGGAATCCTATTAAGTGTTACCCAGAAATGTTCATCAGGGCTGTATGTGTCTTTTGACCAGTGTAGGAGGTCAATGGCCCTTTGGTCCTGGAAGACAAAGTTGACAAACTCTCTGGTGAGTGCCACATAGGCAGTGCCAAAGTAGATGGTCAGCTGATGTGGAGGTGAGGTTTTTAAAATATAAGTATTTTTCACAAAAGAGCCACCTTTGTTCAGGTGCTCTCGGTGGACATACTTGGTCCGTCCAATCGCATGATCGGGAGGCAGCACCCCTGGGGTGATGTTTTTCCCTTTAAAGCCTTTCAGATGCTGAACGATTTCCCTGTTGGTTTTCAGGGGGAAATCTTGCCCGCAGGTGTTGATGGCGTACTTCCACGGCACCTCTGAGGTCCTCAGGTTCTCCAGGCAGTTCAGGTCAGCCTGGAGCCTGGAAATTCCTGCGTAGACCACAGGCTCTGCCTTGGAAGCCAGAAAAGCATTTTGGAAGCAACTCAGTAACTGCCACACAGATTTCTTAAAATGAGCGGTGGCTTTCTCATCCACGTGCACACAGTAGACATTCTGGGGCATATAGACAGCCCTGAAGAGCCTTTCGAAAGTATCGAAGTCCTTGTGAATAACCATGACATATGCCAAGGGGAACGCAGCTTCTTCTTCTGACAGGGGGCTTGTGATGTAGTGATTCTGGGTCAGGTAGTCCTTGCAAGGGACACTTCCCACCGGTGATGGCAATGTCTTTTCCCACAAAAAGGGTGACTTGTCTTCTAAGGCGTAATTACAGGCATGTATTTGAAAATACCTTTCACTGGAACTGTTCAGCTTCCCATAACTTTTTGGCGAGCTTAACTGGCTATTGTAAAGGACCACAAAAATCACCACACTGAACACAGTGGAAGCAAAAAGGTAATACCTCCAAAAGTTCATTATTTTCACTTCCCTGGAGAAGGACTCTCTCACCAAGGATGGAGAATCGAGGGGTCCCTGAAACCACAAGGGTCAGAGGGTCGAATTGACCTCTTCTGCCCGCCTTGAATTTCGACAGCTTCTCAAGAGGGCTTCCTTCCCCCGAGTGCTTTAATCCTCATTTTTTCTCCGCTTCTGGGTCGCGTCCATCCTCCCTCGGCGACGGCCGGAGATGCTTCCCTCCCCGCCGATGGGCTTCAGGCCTCGGCGCTGACTCCGGCGAGCCGCCGAGCGCGCCCGGCTCAGCCCGGCCTCCGGGAAGCCCTGGTCATTTGCATACAAGACGCCAGCGGGTCTCAGCAAATTGCGTTCTGGTCCGGAATGACGTCTCCTTTCTCCCGGGCTGTTTCTCCGGCTTCGCCCCACCCCCTCCATCCCATCTAAGCCGATCGATCGCATCTCCCGTCTCTTCTCACGCGTCCCCCTTGCCTTCTTTGAATTAAGTGGTTCTACTTTTTCCAATTAACCCCGCAAGCGGCTAGCAGTTCTTGGAAACCACCGCACTGAGGATTTTGGCTCCTCGGGTTTCTTTCTCTTCCTGTTTCTCTGCCACTTCTTTCCATTTCAGAGTTATCTCTACTGGGCACATACAGACACAGATAAGGAAGAACACCCTTGCGACATACCTAAGTAAATTATCGGAGGGAAGAAGAAGATGGTGAGGGAGGTGAAGGTCTCTGGATTAAATCAGGCAGTTGCTGATGGTGTCGCCTGGCACGTATGCGAACGTGCAGGCTCTGGGAAGACGGAAATCAGAATTAGACTTGGGGGGCATGAGGTGAGGGCAGAAGGAATCTAGGAGTGACTTTTAACATGAAAGGGTCGGGGTCAAGGCCTAAGTGAAATAAACATACCTTAGTTTGCCTGCCAGGGGGGAACGTGATAGTCATTATTCCCAGAGAGCAAAAGTGGTTCCCATTTCACACAGAGCGTCAGGTAACTGGAGTTGCTGGCACAGGATTGTCTACGGAGTGTGGAGTGACTAGCCATCTCTCCAAAACCCTGACATCTTCAGGTTGGAGATCATTTCACAGAGCTCAAAGGAGTCTCCTTTTCACCCAACCCCCTCTCCCACTTCCTCACGCTGAAGAGAGAACAAAGGCTTGGGGGCAGCGGCAGAATTCCTGGAAGTATCAGTCAGTGTCATGCAGGGGAACCAGGAAGAGACGCCCAGCAGGTCTGGTCACATTACACAGGGATTCTCAGCGCTCACCTGTGCCAGGTGCCGCCAGCACTCAGGAAATGGCGAGCAGTTGCAGGTTAATGCAGTAAGGATGCTTCTGGGGGAAAGTTACTGGTCCGAATAACAGATCAACCCAGGGCAGCCACTGGGGCTAAAAGTGGCCCTGATTCCATCTCACTGCTGCAATCACCCGCTATCCTACTTGTCTGGGCATGATGCTGCGGTTGGAGCCACTGCGCCTGTTAGGGAGACACTGGTGTAGAACCAGCAAGCTCCCCATCCCCTCCCATCCCACTCCACCCCTTCACTTCCTGTAGTTCACTGGATCAATGAATGACAACAGTAGCATAGATGTGATGGATAGATACTGATTTGGCAATGGACCCGTAGAGTTGGTGGGGATCTTGAAGCTCACTTTACACACCCCTCTCTTTTACAGACGAGGAAACTAAGGCCACAACAAATATTTTCTTCAAAGTCATTCAGCTGGATAGAAGCCAGAGCCTTAATTCTGCAGCAACCTGGTCAAGATGCTGGAGCCAGTCTAACTGGCTTCAAATCCCGGGTAGTCACTGACCAGCTGTACCAGCAGGGTAAAGGTACTCCACCTCCCTCAGCACCAGGTTCTTTGTCTGCGAGATGGAAAATAACAGTGATTCCTCTTCCACGTGGCTGTTAAGAACATGAACTGAGATAACCCGTGCTCGGGGTTTATGTATCTGTCCGCAGAGGTTCAGAGAAGCATTAGCAGTTATTGCTCCTGCTGCTTCCCTTCTGAAAAACAGCCAACATTTCTGACCCTATTAAGGAAATGATAATTTGATTGGTCATGGAGAAGAAACACATTGACCTCCTTAAGGCTTTCAAATGGGTTGATTTATTGCCACTCCAAAAGAGTGAAGGTTAAATTCCTTCCCCTTGTCTCTCTCCCTTTACCACAGAAGAAGAAGAAGAAGAAGAAAAGAGTAGAAGTGTGGCTGGAGAAAAGGAAGTTCTGTTTGGATGCTTTCTCTTCCCTTGATTCTGACTAGAGCCACACCCTGATCTGAGAAGTTCTGCCTGGTAGGACCCAGAGTGGACTGCAGAGGGAGGCAGAAGGCTCTCCCTGCAGGTTCAGTCGGTTTTTTCCTGTCTCTCTGCCTTGGTCCTCGATCCTACAATAGGGAGCGCTGGTCCAACGCCAGTGCAAAGCAAACTCCAGAAATCTTTCATCACGACTGAGTCAAAGCAGCTCGCAAGTAGGGAGAAGGGGTGCGACGTGATTTACAGTTCGAAACAGCAGGATCCCCCAACCCCTTCCGTAGTCAGCCCTGCCTTATTGACAGTGCTTTAGATGAACGGCCAGAGATGAGAATGCAATGCTCTTTTTAGTGGTTGGCCCAGCAGTTGGTTTGTTTGGCTTGGTATCTGTGGCCACTGAACCGGCATTTTCTTCCAGCAAATAATTGGGCTAAGCGATTAACTTCCTACCAGCACAGGATTTCTGCTCCATTCACTCTAGTTGGCTTAACATAGTGAAAACTGTCATCAAGAGGGCATTTGGTATCACTCCTTGCCTCTCTCAGGCCCAGGATAACCTTTATTGTCATAATCAAGGAGACAGACCAAGGATAGCCGCGGACACACATAATTAGCCCAGCTCAGACATGAAAAGAAAAGGCGGGGCTGTCTGGGGGCTTTGGGAGACCACGGTTGGAACTTTTCCCCCCGACAGTCACTTTAGTTCTCATGGACCTTGTCAGAGCTGTGCGTCCACGCCAGCTGGGCTCTCAGAGGTAAATAAAAACACCTTCTTGTGGGAGCAGGGTTATAATCTGGGCCTGATCTGTTCCCAAGTCCTTCTAGGTCTCCTCTCCCTCTGACTACTTCTCTCCGCACAATCACTGGCTGTGTTTTTGGACGGCCACATACTGTAGGTCTACTCTCAGAACACAGCAATAGAGCGGACCGGTTGCCTCGAAAAGCAAATGGCCCCCAAGCCACTGGCCTCCCATCTCCAGCACGATTACACCGCCCCGCTTCCCACGAAGGCTTGGCTTGTGTCGTTCTGGCAAACTCACTCTGGCCACAGCGAGATCCAGAAAGTCAACAGCAAAAGGTCTCCTGGCAACCCAAATAATAATCACACCTGGTAGGCTGGATTCGTGCACTCCAGTGTGTACGGGCAGGTAAGCGGAAGAAGTCAGTGAGAAAAATAAGTGAAGCTGGGAGGGTAGGAAAAACAGGGTGAGTGAGTTCATGAGTGGCAGCTAACACTTGGCCAAGGTGTTATGAGGTTGAGGGAGGGTGGGGGCAACAGAGAAGAGCCTGTGCCCCAACTAAAGCAAGCAGGTTCCTCTCAATGCCAGCAGGGAATGTCACGTGGGGTCACTGGGCCAGTGCGGCCAGTGCTTCAGATATTTTAAGAGGAATGAGGAATCTGAATTTTATTAAAATTTTTTTTCCAAATTCCTTACATGTTATCATGCAATTAACAAATTTTTAAAACACGAGTCCACCCACACACAAGCACCCTGAAGACCCTGTTTGCCGTCAAGATACAGTCTATCATCTTTGGTTTAAGCATCAGAGCTCACGTATTTGTTTTTTTCTTTTTTGTCTTGTTTTTTAGGGGGCAGGTAATTAGATTGAATCCAGGACTTCATGCATGCTAAGCATGCACTCTGCCACTGAGCTATACCCTCCTCTCTGCAAAGCTTATGTATTTGAACCCCTCTCGAGGCTGAGGCTTATTCACTCTTAGTTTAGACACAATCATAACAAATTGTCTCGGATCTAAGCAGAAAAGGGGTCACATATCAGAGGAGAGATGCAGGACTGCTAGGTTCAGTGCCCTTTTGTCAGCTATGGCGACAGACTGAGAATGAAGTGGGTTCAAGAAAAACTCCAAAAGTTTCCATAAAAAACTAAAAATAAAGCTACCAAATGATCCAACAATGCCACTCCTGGGCACATATCCAGAAAAGAAGAGAATTCTAATTCAAAAAGATACATGCACCCCGAAGTTCATAGCAGCGCTAGTTACAATAGCCTAGACACGGAAACAGCTCAAGTGGGCATCAACAGATGCCTGGTTTAAGAAGGCGTGGTATGTATATGTATGTATGTGTATATATATACTCAGCCATAAAAAAGAATGAAATACTGCCACTTGCAGCAACATGGATACACTTAGATAATACGATACTAAGTGACGTATGTCAGAGAAAGACAAATATCATATGACACCACTTATTTGTGGAATCTAAAAAAAAATACAAATAATTCTACATGCTAAACAGAAAGAGACTCACAGACATAGGAAACAAACTTACAGTTACCAAAGGGGAAAGGTGGGGGGGGATAAATTAGGAGTATGAGATTAACAGATACACACTACTGTATATAAAATAGAAAAGCAACAAGGATTTATTGTGTAACACACGGAACTATATTCAATACCCTGTATTAACCTATGATGGAAAATAATCTGAAAAAAGAAATCTGAATCACTTTGCTGTACATCTAAAACTAACACAATATTGTAAATCAACTATATTTCAATAAAAAAAGGAAAAAAGAAATTCCAAAAACAGATCATTCAGTTTAAGGATGACTGGCATTTGTACAACTCAGTGATCACACTGTATCATTCCCTCTAGTATTTAAAATGATCAAACAAGTTAAAAATAAATTTCTTCTGTATAGCACAGGGAACTATATTCAATATCTTATAATTAACCTTTCATGAAAAAGAATATGAAAATGAATATGTGTATATATATGCGTGACTGGGACATTATGCTGTACACCAGAAATTGACACATTGTCACTGACTATACTTCAATAAAAAAATAAGTAAGTAAAAATAAAATGTGCAAAAATGTTAATCAAAGGGCTTGAAAACTGGGAAGATCTGTGTCAACACTGGGCTACCCCAGTGTTTTAGGGTTGAAAATAAGCAGAGAACTAACATTTAGTGAAACAGAAATACAGATGTATTAATATATATCTTGTACATATATACTGCATAGTCTATTAAAAAGGCACTTCTGAAATATGTTTATTCAAATTTGTTCTTTTAATTAACCGCTTTGTGCACAAAAGTGTAGGCTTTAAATTATCTAGGAAACTCAGAATTCTGACAAAACTTTTTCTGAAAAAAAAGGTAGGCAAATGTGTTAACCACACACTTCTGCATCAGACATCAGCGCTTTTTCTGTAAAAGGCCAGGAAGTAAATATTTCAGGCTTGGGGGCCATTTGGTTTTTGAGGCAAACGCTCAGCTCTATTGCTGTGTTCCAGAAGTAGGCATAGCAGTATGTGGATGTGACCTGCTGAAATTTCATTTCTGGACACTGTTATCACAATTTCTTATCTTTTTCATGTCATAAAATACTCTCCTTTGGATTTTTTTTTTTCCAGTCACTTCAAAATGTGACATCATCCTTAGCTTGTGGGCAGGTCAAAAATAGGCCAGATTCAACCCACAGGCTGTATGTCGCTGGCTGATTTCTTTTCTAGATAATCATCAAGTTCCTCCAGGCCTAAGTTTTGTAACATCAGGGTCTTTGCAATCACTTTCTCAGTGAAGAAATGTGAAACGGGGGAGAGCAGCAATGCTGATTCCTGCCGGAGTCGTCTGTTCGGCCCCCACGCGGCTCACGTCGCAGAGCACTGGACTAGATGCCTCGGTTTCCTTTCTTCTGTAAAACACTGACCTCATAGCGTTCCAAAGAGGTTCAAATAGATTAGGACATAAAAAGAGCTTAGAATGATGCCTTGCGCATCAGGCATACTCAACAAGTCTGTGACATCTCTGTTGCCAGCTTTGGCTCACATAAGATCCAAAGCACCTGCCCACCTTCTTAGGTACCTTTAGTGAAGCAGAACAGTGGTGCTTGGGGGGTCATTCTTCACCCAAAAGATCCCAAAGTACAAGTGAAGCCATCAAGGCCATCGTTATCACAGGCAGCACCAGCCTCTTCAGGCCTCTCCCTACACTCTGGAGCGAGGGCACTGGCCTCATTCCCACCTGCAGCCTCTTGAACCTGCTCTTTCAAACTGCATCGGACGTGGTTACCTCTGGCGCACCCTGCAAAAGCATGTGATGGGGCGTGGCGGCGAGGACCAGGACTTTGGAACAGGGCTTAAATCTGTCTCTGCTCTTTACTAGGTGTCCCTGGGACAGTTTCTTGGGATCACTGTGCCTTAGTTTCCCAGTTCTTAAAAAGGAGTTGTAGGAAGTCTATGAGAAACGGGGAGGGTATAGCTTAGTGGTAGTGTGTGCGCTTAGCATGCCCGAAGTCCTGGATTCAATCCCCAGTAAACCTCCATTCAAACAAACAAACAAACAAACCTAATTACCACCCCCCAAAAAAGAACAACAAAAAGAATTAAAAAAAAAAAAGAAAGTCTATGAAAGTAAACATGGCTCAGACACCTTCTGTATCTTCTCCCCACTCTCTTCCACATTCCATCTCTCCAGCTTAACCTCATTCTTCCAGGTCACACAGGGTTTTATTTTTCTCTATGACCCTAGCAGCCTTTCGGGAGTAGCAATTTCTTTCCCTCTTAGGCGTAAATGCCCAGATTCAATTCTAATTTTCCAAGCAAAAACAAAAGCAGAAAGAAACAAACCCCTGCCCCCACCTCCACCCGCGCCCCATCCACATCCACATTTTACCTTTGGCTTTAGGCTGTTAATTCTCAAGGAACAGAATTGGTGACTATTTGTTTTTCTAAGCAACTTTTCTCTGTTTCTAAATGTCTGCTCTGAGAAAAAAAAAAAGACTGCAGATTTGTA